TAGTATGATGCGCCGAGCCCGGTGCATGCAAAACAAATGAATGAATGCAAACATGCTATCATACTGTATGCTAATTGAAACATGCCCTAATCTAACCATCATAAGCGGGTAAATAAAAGGGAGAAAGACGTGGGGTTGGAAGACATACATCACACACACGCACACTTATTACAATTGTGCCCTCGCGCAGAGGGCCCGAATAAAATAATATACAGTCCCAAATGAATAGTACAGTCCAAATAAATAATACAGTCCAAATATGTACAGAATCCAAATTAAATAACAAATTTAACTAGGAAAGCGGTAAACTAGCATACAAGCTAGGGACTGCCTCGACTCTGTTCCGAACGATGGATGATGCATGTTCAGGTTGCTTGGCACGGAAATCCACTGCGATGCCCCAATTAGCCTCTGTTTGCGATTGATGCCGGAATGCTATGCAAGGCCTTTGAAAGGCTATTGATTCTTGATTTGCTGCAACAGAGAGCAGGAAAAGGGCATGGCAATGTATTTTCACAAATGTATGCATGCCTCGATCCTCGTGCCACCAATCACTCATATCGATGCACGATGGCCGAGGAGTCGAGTTACACGACTCAATATGAAATGAATGCACATATAAACACAACAAAACCTAAACTCCATCATGGATAATTCGGAGTGTCGGTGACTGGGAATTGAGACACGTTCCGTCACTCGAAGTACGAAACGTCCCTCGTTTCCCATGCTCGGGCTAACTCCTATCCCAAGCACGATGCAATATGCATGATATGCATGAAATGCGACCAATATACAACCTAGCATGCACAATGCTATGAAATGAAATGGCATACCCAATGCGCAATGGACTTACACCAACATGAGTGGACCTCACCCACACTCACATCGGTAGCTATGAGATGAAAATGAGACACTCGAAATGCGTGCACACATGCACGCAAACCAAGGACCGAACCTAAGGCACAAATGCCACTCTAACAAGGCATGGCAAGGCATGAAACATGGTATGCAAACATGTAAATTTCAGTGCTGAAATATGATGCAAAACAGCCCCGAAACATGGAAACATGGCACCCGATGCATGGAATGAACCCGAAATACAAAACTAGGCATATGCATTGGCCTATAGCTATACAAAACATGCGTTATTTGAACATGAAGTGTGAATATAGAATCAAGACAGTCCCAAAACAAGCATATTTACAGTTTTAAGCAAGGCCAAACAATGGACACAAATAGGGCTAAGCTAGCATGCGTAAATGGCCCCGTAAGAGAGGTAATGAAGCAAGTAATATCTGCTGGCCCCAAATGGCCAAGAGCCCTTCAACAAAGTTGAAGAGGGGCTCAAAATAAAGTACTTTACAGTTTACAACAAGCCACATATCTAAACACAAACAGGCCTAAAACATTGTACAAGAAATGGGCCAAAAGGGAGACAATGAAGCAAGTGATGGTTTCTGGCCTCAAACAGAAGAGGGCCCTTCAACAAATTTGAAGAGGGACCAAAAAAATGGTATTTTACAGTTAATGACCAAACCCAAAACAATGCACATGCAAGCCTAAAATACTATGCAAAATAAGGCCTAAAAAGAGGTTTAAACACAAAGTGTAAAAGGGGAGCCTCAAAAAACAAAATACCCTTGATCAAACATGAAGAAGGGGTCAAAATAAGGCTATTTACAGTTTGGAATAGAGCCCAAAAATATAAACACAAGGGGCTAACAAAACATGCAAAAATAAGGCCAAAAGAGGGTAAAGAGGAAAGTGCCAAAAGGAAGTCTCAAACAGTGAAGAGACCTTCAATAATGTTGAAGAAAGTCTCAAAATAAGCCACTTCACAGTTTATAACCAAGCTCAAAACAGTTTAAAAACAGGCCTAAAATACTATGCAAGAAAGAGGCATACAAGAGAGGTAAAGAAGCAAGTGTAAAAAGGAAGCCTCAAACAGGGAGAGGCTCTTAAACAAACATGAAAAGGAGCTCAAAATAATAGTATTTTCAGTTAGTATCGGAGCCCAAATATGCAAGAAAGTATAGCTTAGATTGTATGCAAAAATAAAGCCAAAAAGAGGAGAATGAAGACTCACCCTTGTAGACAAAGCTTTGACAACTCTTGGACCAAGTTTTGTGGCTCCTTAGCTCTGGAAAACAGCTCCAAGTGGCTGGAATGGATGGTGGTGGTATGGTGCTAGGTGGTGGTGTGGAAATGGTGTAGGGTTTGGAGAGGTTTTGGTGCTTGGAAGAGAAGGAGAGGGAGGACCAATGCAAGAGGCTTAGAGCAAATTTTTGTAACCCTCAGATGGGAGCTGGAGCTGCTGTTATATAGGCAAAAGAGGGGAGAAAAAGGGAGGAAAAATGGGGGGGAAAGAATTCAAGTTTCCCCCCAAAAGTGCAGCCCCCCGGATACAAAATCTAGGGGGAAACAGAATGCATATCTGTAAAGTACTAGAAGAGACGAGCATGGCCGGCCGGTTATCTAGGGTTTAGGTGACTGGTCGGCTCTCCCCATGGCCGGCCGGCCAAGGGTCAAAAGTGTCAATCATGATTAGTGGCCGGCCACCCCAGAAAGAGGGCCTCCCATGTGTGCATAACACAACCATGTAGTCAAAAAGTGGAGAAAGTGAACCAGGAGAGAGAAAAGGCCACTTTTATGAGGGGTTCAAAAGGGTCACACACAATTACTGGCCAGCCATGTGATATTGGTGGCCTCCCAGGTGTGTACAACACAAATATGTGGTTTGGGGCAAGAAAAAGTGGCCTTAGGGTGGTCAACATTGGCTTTCAAGTGAGAAAAAACGGGCGACAGAGGGCGACAGAGGAATAAAACTGGTTGTCAGAACAATTGCTGGCCTCCCACCCTTCTACGACCTTCTTAACAATGAAACAGAGGTCCCTGCCAAAAATGAACCCAAACCGATGCAAAATGAAGGTTCGGGGGCCGAAACGCGCAGCCCGAGGCCCCGAAAATTGACTGTTAGGCACCGGAAGTGGTGTTCGACCACGAAATTGGTTTTTTGAGCCACAGTGTCCCTCAAAAGGGAGCAAATAAGATGCATGCCAAAAACCGGAGTAAACGGAGATGGTTAAGCGGTCCCGAACCGAGGCACACGGCCAACGGCTTCGAAAAATTGGAAACCGGACTCCGAACAGGGAAAATGGCCTACGACCACGAAACGTAGCCTACGGCCACTGGAAGATGATCTATGAGACCTCTCCCTCCCTTTGGGAAGAGAAAACAGAGAAAACAGAGCCTGGTTCGCAAACTGAGGCAAAGCATGAAAGAGTCCGGAAGTCCGGAGGCAAGGCTCGCAGCCGAGACTCTGAAACCTCTGAACGAGCACGATACGCAACATCACCAAGCGCTCAATCGGTGACGTCTGAGTCTTAAGGTTGGTCAAAAATGGGGTGTCTACAGTCGCCAAAAAACCTTTGCTTGCCTTTTTGGCTACTAAAATATTTAGTCGCCAAAAATTTTATAATTTTTTTTAATTAATTTCTCAACCACCTGTATTTATTTCATTATTAGTACAATTTTTACCCTGTATATAAATAAAATTATTCATATACTGATAAAATTGGCAACCATTCCACAACATTCACACATTTCACTTTCAACCATAAAAAAAAAATTCATATTTAACATCAAATTAATATTTCTAATAAAAATTCCATACAAACCAAGTACAATCCAATCTCAAAATATAATTCCATATATAACATAGGATTAAACAAAATTAATATTCAATTGTTAATCTGTACTACCAAAAACTAATTTGTACCACGCCAAAAGATAATCTGTACCACATCAAGAGGCAATCTGTACCATATCAAAAATTAATCTGTACCACGTCAAATTCAGCCTACTATACCACGCCATAAAACTAATATGTACAAACAATACTAATTTGTAGAGTAAAAACAATGCCTTTCGTACTTACCAAAAAAAGTTGAACACCGCAATTTCATGCCAAAAACCATCTGTACAAATAAAATTAATCATTAGTATTGACTAAATTTTGGCATATTTAAGATTAAAAAATATATATATATATATATATATATAACTCGAATATAATTAATATTTTCAAATAAATCATTAGTTTTGCATAATCGAATTCATATAAAAAAAACATATGTAAAACTCGATCGCATATATCAGGCAACTAGTAATATTTTACAAGTAATCATTGCACATAATTAATAATTATTATTGAATTTTTGCCCCCCGAATGCATTTTTCGACTAAGTTTAATGTGTTTTCTCTCCTAACTCCCAGCCTACGGATCCTATTTACATACCATCTATCCCTACATGTCATATTTGGGACGGAAAAGTTGGCGGTTACATCAAAACATTGGTTGGGGGGCTATTTCGCATTTTCACCCCCCAACGGCTTTTTTCGAATAAGAGTTGATTTTCGCAAGACAGAATATTAGCACTACTTGAGTGGAACATCTCTTGTCACTCAGAGGCTATTCGTTGAGTGCACTTTAAATTGCAAAGCATTTGTTGGACTAGCATACATTTGATTCATAATAGGACTGGGGTAAAATTAAACTATTGGTATTGGACACTAGTAGGTATCATATTCAAAAACCATTCAATCAATGAACAAATAACCAACTCAACATATCCAAAACCTTATGGTATGGTAAACAGTTGACGGAAAATGTATAGAAGCCTCGAACGATATTATGACTACGAACATAAAAGGTCTAGAAATCAAGTTTGCTCTTGAGCAAAGACAAAAGTAATGGGAATGACTGTGCCAACTCGGCTATGCATATTTTCGGATTTAAACTTGAGATGAAAGATACAAAACACTTTGTCTTACTTTCCAACATCGTACATTCAACTAATATAAATCTCCACACATATGTACATTGGATGCTTATGCAATTAAATTAGTAAAAGATATAAGTTTTCTGCAAAGCATTCCACAAACAGAGGCCACAACATGGAAAATTAGGAAGAGATGAAGGAAATTTGTGAAAGTGTAACGACCCAATCTTGGCAAGGCAAAACCCTGCCAAGAGGGTGCACCTCAAACGCTATAGCACCTTTACACCACAATTCCTGTATAATTCTTACATCACATCACCACATCACCAAAAGTGTATAAGACCTTTCAATTGCCTAACATATATGAGATGATCTATTCAAAGACAAAAAAAGTATTATCATGCTACAAGATAGTTCCCAAGCATTTCCTCCCAAAAAAAATATAATACATACTAATCACGAATCCATCAATACATCCAACTTCATAAGCAATATTTACAATCAACCTCCTTCATAAAAAAAAAGGGTAAGCTTACATCCTAGAATGACCCTAAGCAAAACCTCAACCACAAGATGCCCACCTGTGATCCTTCAAAAAAATTCTAGTCTTCCAAGTTGAGGCGAGCCACACAAAAGTCTATGAATCTGAAAAAAAATTATTTAAAAGAATGAGCTAAAGCCCAATGAGTATACCAATACCATGGAGTTATAAAACTTGCTCCTACCAATAGGGTTCAAAATAAAGATACTAAACATAAGAGCTTAATTGGACTTAAATTTATACAAAATAAAAATAAAAATGATGAAATACAATTTTCATAAAACGTTATAAAGATTTTTCCAAGGAATCTCATAAGGCAGAAAAAAAAACATACATTTGGATAATGAAAGTAAACAAAAATATAACTTTTCAATACATTAAGATTTCCTGTCCATCATACAATCCACTACATAGCCTTAGGGTCGCGTTACCTCGCGACTTAGGTGGTGACGGTACCGTTACCCAAAACATAACCATAGGAACATAGCTCATGTCATCGTAGCACTTCAATTCTTGTTTCAATGTTTCGGTCCCCAGGACCCCTTATACATACAACGACCCTTATGGTCCTTAAAACATTTCGGTCCCCAGGACCCCAAAGCATTTTGGCCCTTGTGGCCCCAAAGGCTATATTCGGTTATATGATCAATAAAATAAATACCCTCACATAACATTTCACTGTCATTCAATCATCATCATCATAAAATTTGAAAGACTCAACTTAAATAAATTCTCATAAAAAAAAAATTAATGCTTCATTATACAAATGAAATCATATCTTTATTAAAACTCAACCCTTGGCCTCAATAAATTTATAGATTTTCTTTTTATACATATATCATGATGAAATGTATCATTCACTTCCTTTAATTCAAAAATTATTTTCAAACTTTGTAATAAAGATAGAGGTAAGGTAATTTCCATGGTAAGTATACTCACCTCCAAAAATAGCAAAAGTGTAGATTTGAAACTCGACAAATTAATTTCCAAGAGGTGGAGAGATGCCTTCCTCCAATCCTAACAATTAGTAAATAGGATCTCAAATTAGGAAAAGCTTTCAATGAAAATTACAACATCTACAAAAATGATCCTAAATAAAATTATGCTAAGGAATGGCAAGCTAAAGAACTCCTCCAACTTTAAATCACCCAAACAAATAACTTATCCAATCTCCATAACACCCATCCTTTGAACATCTTTGAGTTAGTAACTTTTTAAATATCCAATCAATTTATATGCACAATACCACCATCAATTTACTACAAAAGTCAAAAATCAACATTTTTGTATAAACTCAACAACTTAAGTAAAATCTCTTCAATCACTTATAAAATTCCTCCATAGAACATAGAGATACCCAATCCATCATTTATCAACTCAATTTCAACATATAAATTCCCTAACACCAAAATCCCCAATTTTTACATCACATTCAAACCCTAGATTAACCCAAAAATCTAAATCTCCAAATCAACCATCAAATTGACCATTTTTTTTTTTAAACATGTAAAACATTCATGGAAACTAATTGAGAGTATAAAATTCAACAAGCAAACCCCAAATCATAATAGATCTAAAACACAAAAATTTCATCATCTCTAACTCAAAATATGTAAAACCTTCAACTAAACTTTTAGAGAAAGATTCTTACCAAGTACAAGCCTCTAATCCATCAAGAAAATAAATCCCATGCTTTGATTCTTCAAAAGATTAAGAAAAATCTAGAGTTTGTGCTTCTATTGTGTTATTTTCGGATGGATTCAAGGAGTGCCGACCGGACCCATTTTCCGGCGAGATAAGGTGGCCGGAGGTGGTGGAGATGGTGGGTCAAGGTGGTGGTGTAAGGGTGGAGCAAAGGTGTGGTGTTTGGCCTCCAAGAAAGTAAAGGAAAATGAGAGAGAAAGTAGAGAGAAGTTAGAGAATGAAGAATGAAGAAAAAAAATCTGCACTTCTAATTTTTTTTTGTGTTGAAATGGGGTGTTTGGTTACACCTACCATCAAGTTTGGAGTTGGGTTTAGATATCCTAAATGGAGTTTAACATAGGAGTGTGTTTGGCTCTAGATGAAAAGTTGGGAATATTATAATTCTACCCCCCTAAAGGAAAATTTCGTCCACGAAATTTATTCGTTTGTTTAGTCTAGTTCATACCTTGAAAAAGATGTGGATATCGAATTTTCATATTATCCTCCCGCTCCCAAGTAGCTTCCTCCAAAGCATGATTTTTCCACAATACCTTTACTAGTGGTATGGTCTTGGAACGTAGTACTTGATCCTTCATGTCCACAATCTCTATGGCTTCCTCTTCATAAGACAAATCATCCTTGAGTTGGATTGGTTGGAAATCTAACACGTGTGATGGGTCAGGCATGTACTTCTTCAATGTGGATACATGAAACACATTGTGAATGCGAGATAGACTAGGTGGTAAGGCCAAACGATAAGCAGTCTTGCCAATGCGCTCTAATATCTCAAATGGCCCAATATACCTTGGACTTAGTTTGCCTTTCTTACCAAATCGCATCACTCCCTTCCATGGCGAGATTCGTAAAAATACATGATCTCCCACTTGAAATTCCAAATCTCTCCTTCGATTATCTGCATAGCTCTTTTGTCTACTTTGAGCCGCCTTCAACCTTTCTCGAATAATATGCACTTTATTGGTAGTAATTTGAACAATCTCTGGCCCTAACAATTTTCTCTCTCCAACCTCATCCCAACATACTGGAGTTCTACATCTTCGCCCATATAAAACTTCATAGGGAGCCATTCTAATACTTGATTGATAACTATTATTATATGCAAATTCTATTAAGGTCAAGTGTTCATCCCAACTACCTCGAAAATCTAGGACACAAGCTCTCAACATGTCTTCTAAAGTTTGAATTGTCCTCTCGGATTGCCCGTCGGTTTGGGGGTGAAAAGCTGTACTGAATCTCAGTTTAGTACCCAAGGCATTTTGAAGACTAGGCCAAAAGTGGGATGTGAAGCGCGAGTCTCTGTCTGAAACAATAGATACCGGCACACCATGCAATCTCACAATTTCATCCACATAAATTTTTGCTAATCGATCAAGTGAAAAGTTTTTCTTAGTAGCCAAAAAGTGTGCAGATTTGGTCAACCTATCCACAACAACCCAAATAGAGTCATGCCCCTTCTGTGTGCGAGGCAGGCCCGAAACAAAATCCATGGCAATATGCTCCCATTTCCATTCAGGTATAGGAAGAGGTTGAAGTAAACCAGCTGGGCATTGATGCTCTGTTTTAATCTGCTGACATACCAAACACCTTGACACGAATTCTGCTATTTCTCTCTTCATATTTGGCCACCAATAACTTTCTCTTAAATTTCGATACATCTTTGTACTCCCCGGATGCATTGCATAAGGTGAATTATGGGCCTCATCTAATATCTCCCTTTTTATCTCGGGCTCATTTGGAACACATAACCGATTTTTAAACATCAACACACCATCTTCTTTAATAATAAAGTCTAACAGAGTACCATCTTTCACTCGAGCTCGGGTCTTCTCCAAAATTGAGTCTTTCCCTTGGGCTTCTCGAATGCGATCCACTAACAAAGGTCTCACTTTAATTGTAGCTAACAAGGATCCCGACTTCCCAACTGCTAGATCAACTCCAATAGATTTTATTTCATGTAAGAGACTAAATTGAATGCCCTGAATGTGAGTTAATTTCCCTGTAGATTTTCGGCTAAGAGCATCGGCCACCAAATTAGCTTTTCCTGGGTGATAATTAATGGTGCAGTCATAGTCCTTAATCAGTTCAACCCATCTCCTTTGCCTCAAATTTAAATCCCTCTGTGTGAATAAATATTTCAAACTCTTATGATCAGTATATATCTCACATTTTTCCCCATATAAATAATGTCTCCATAACTTTAAAGCAGAAACAACTGCTGCGAGCTCTAAATCATGGGTGGGATAATTGCGTTCATGGTTCTTCAATTGTCTAGATGCATAGGCCACTACCTTTCCATGTTGCATCAACACACAACCGAGCCCTTGATGAGAGGCATCACTATAAACAATAAATCCTTCACCACTTAACGGAATAGTAAGCACTGGGGCAGAAGTTAATCGCTTCTTTAATTCTTGAAAACTCTTTTCACAATTCTCCGTCCACTCAAATTTGGTATTCTTACGGGTCAAATGTGTTAATGGTGCCGCAATCAATGAAAACCCCTCTACAAATCTACGGTAGTAGCCTGCCAACCCTAAAAAGCTCCTCACCTCGGTCACGTTAGTAGGACGATCCCAATTCACCACAGCCTCTATTTTCTTCGGATCCACAAAAATACCTTCACCCGAAATCACATGCCCCAAAAATACGACACGATCTAACCAAAACTCACATTTGCTAAACTTCGCATACAACTTCTTTTCTCGTAAAGTCTGCAATACCACCCGCAAGTGTTGTTGATGATCCTTTTGACTCCTGGAATAAACAAGTATGTCATCAATAAATACAATCACAAATTGGTCAAGGTATGTGTAACAAGCCCGCGGGGGACCTCGCTACAGCTCGGACTCGACTTTTCGTAGTCACGGTTCTAAATCTGAACCAAAGAGTCCAAATCCGGCAAATCGTTTTAGGAAAACTGATTTTTGAAAGAAGTGCCAAACATGGACTGCTTTGCCAGATACATCTATCTAATACAACGTATAAACAATGAATAAACACACACACAGCCTTCTTTTCACATCCAGATTTTCTCAACACACACACACCCACAAACACACCCAATTCTAGATTATTCTACAATTTACTGTATGATCAAAATTAATTTAACTAAGCAACACTTAGTCTTAATAAATCTTGATTAACACATAATTAAATCAATCATGACTAATCCCAAATCCCACTTAATTTAATTAGTCTAATCTGACTTCCTTTAGAGCCCAATTAATAATATTTAAATTTATTAATCTGAATCAGATTTTTTTTTTTTTTAATCAAACTCCCAAAAGGCTCCAAATATTAAATTAAACTTATTGTCATCATCAATTTTGATTTCTCAAACCATTTAGGCCTTCAATTTCTAATCAGATTCCAAATTTCCGTCAATAAATTACATATTCAAATTGGACACCCCATAAATAAATTTAATTCGTAATAATCACAATTCTCAATCCTCATAATTTAATTAACCTAATTAACTCCAATTCAGACCTAATTAATCGAATCTCAATTCTACTAAACTGAATTGAATATTTAATTAAACTCCCAAATGGGTCCGTAATTAAAAATTAAATTGATTCAACTTCTTAATTTCACGTCCTTAAGCCATTTGGACCCTTAATTTCTAATTGCAAAATAAATCTTTAAAAGAATCATATACGAATCAGATTCCACAATTATCATAAATCCCAAACTAAATTAGGATAACGACTAATTAAAATCCCAAATCTCCTTAATTAACCAAATATAAAATATTATACGTGGCGGGGTTGTCACAGAAAGGTACAAAGAAAATGCAATCAGCAATTTGAGAGCACAAAATAAGATACACAGTAACACCTGTAACAATGTATAATGATCCAAAATATTTAATAGCTGAGTAGCAGAGACAAATCAACCGACACATAACACGTCTAAGAAAATACAAAAGGCAATTCCTTGACAACGCATAAAGTGTCCAATTTCGTCATAAATTATATATAAAAACCTTAAGGAATTGATAGTCCCAAAGTAAATTTTATTTGCCACAATCAAACATTAGAAATATGATACAACAAAGAAATGGAACTAAATCCAATATTATGTTGGAAGATGCAGTGTCCTTAACTACAAATTACTATGATGGAAGATATTTTTTCTTTTCCATTTGGATAACAAAGTTGTTTTATCATGGATTAGCAGAAAATGGTTCAACACATGTTAACTCATTTTATTTTGAAAAAGTGAAGAGATGATCTAATATTCAAGTCCCAAACACACTCCAGTTTATTTTACAAGTTTGCACCTAAATCATGCACTACAAGAATTTACACATTTGCTGACCAAAAAAATTTTTGTCGAAAAAAATGACACTTGCCGACCAAAAGTAAATTTCGTAGCTAAAAATTGATACTATTACCGACTAAAATTTTTGGTTGCAAATAAGTAATTTTTTGCTACCAAATTACACTAATTGTCGCCAAAAATATGGGCGGGAGAATGAAATTAAAAAGGGAGCTGTGTATGCTATTTTAGCGACTAATATAATTTGGTCGCTGATACCAAAACGGTTGTTTTGGTATCGAAATTCATTAGCCGACCGTCAGTTTGGTAGGGGATAACTTTACTAATTCAAACACAGATAAAAAACAAATCCGTGCCTCTTTCACACCTCAGTCGAATTCGATCAAAGCTCAGGCACACCAATCACCTCACCTTACCATCAACCTTGCCGTCCGCCGTTATCGCCTCTCCACCGTTTGCGCCTCCGTCCCTCTTCGCCATTTCTGTTTCGTCTTCTCCATTTCTAATTCATCTAGGTATTTTTTTCAACTTATAATAGTTTCTCTCTGTTTATATCGCGGTGTCTCACTTTTCCTCTTTGATTTCTCATACTCGTCTTGTTCTACAATGTCTCAACCACTAGTGCCCTCACCATCGCGATTTTTTGGAGCATCTTCAACTCTCCCTAAAAATAATTGTAGGTATAAATCCTCTGTATCACTCTCATGAACTCAGTCTCTCTCTATGTCTCCCTCTCACTGCCAATGTTTGTATAAATCATAAAACATTATAAATTAACGCAGCGGATAAAAAATAATTCGGATCATACCTTGTAGCGAAGAACCTCGTGGGTAAATCACGTGCTTCCAAAATCTGAACAACGAACCCAGCAATGGAGTGATACTACAAAATGAGTATTACCCACACAAGTCACAGTGCAAAATGGCTTGATCGTTGTTTTCTGGAAGAGAGTTAGAGAGAGAGTATGGGAAAAATGGTTATAGGTAAAAACCACATAACATATATATGATATACGTATCTCATAAATTAACCATATAATCTGATATATAACCACATATATATCAATCTATCCATCTATCCATATCTATTGATATGATAGATATAGATATCCTGAATGGTTATCCGAATAAGTTTTGAATTCAAATTCAAACTTATATGGATAAGGTTCAAAAGGTTCAGGTTCAAAGGATCATGCCACATGGGCGCCCAATTTCTAACATCTCCCACTCGCACATGAGTTGGCATGACACTGCCACATCTCTTATCTCAATCTCCTCAAAAAAGAACAATCTCATACTAGCCAATGCACCGTGCGACTGCTGAGAACACTTGCATGTGGGAGCTCTATACTAGAAACTCAAAATGAGCCAGCATAGAGACATCAACCCAAAAAGAACAGAAATAGTGTCTCATATACCCCAGACCCATCCAATTACACCGGTCCAAAAAAAAAATCTCTAATCCCTAAAAAAAGATCATGTTTGACTCTCTCAATTCTTGCAATATATTTACACTCAATCTGCTTCTCATACAGAGCGATGTGAGTTGCCGGCAGTGAATATACAACGGTGGTGTAATACTAGATGATTCTTTCGTTGCCCTCATGCCATTTAGTTTAGGATTGACCGCTTTCCTAGTGATGTCCCTTAAGGTCGAATCATACATAACCGCAAGTAACATACCAAAGTATCAGAACATCAACCCCTTACCTTATGACATAGTCAAAAGTCATAAAAGGGTACATAAATGAAAGTCATATCAATAA